AATATCCTATTATTTTTGTAACGTCTGAACTGTTTGGACGAGAAAGTGAAATAACGCCGGCGTGTGAGCCTAGCGATAGCGAGCCTCACGAAATACAGTAATAAAGCTTGGTTTTGGTTGTTAACAGATTTTATCTACGCTAACGAACATGTACAAAAAATTGTTAGCAATTTGCCTTACCTATAGGTATTAATTATTCATAAAGTATTATAGATGTGTTCGTGAAATTTGCACAAACTAATTTTCTGGATCCATCTGGTAACTGCTTCACTAGTTAGCCAAAGTCAAGCAATATTAATCTGTCGTCTAATCTCATCTAACGGATATCATACGATTTCTTTTATCTTTATGTACCAACCAATAGTATTTCATATAACACGGACAACGTATATTAGCATAAACAAAGGATTGCTGCTTGCTGCACATTCAGGTGGACGTGACGGAACATTTCCTCCCGATTGTCCTTCACTTGCAGACAACAGAATTGACAAGAACTATTTTCTGCGCATGATCGCCCTAGACAATGCCCTCTACATTCTTCGTCGTCATACTTCACTACCTCACCGCCACTCCGTCTTCACTCTTGCTCTGTAGCATTTCTCTGTGTCGTTTGACCGTCACTTTTCCTGTTGCAGCTTCTATCACGTCTGTTTCTTGGAGTCGCTCGGATGTATTTATCTTTTTTTTATCAATCTGATTGTTGAAGGGTGATCGTGATTGATCGTAAGATATTCTCTTCCCAATATCATGGTCGTTGTCACGTATAGCTCTTTCTGACCCCACTTGTGGGACAAAGTGGGACTACGATAAAGTCAGACAACTCCAAAATCTGGCAACGAAATAGTTAGACAACGATAAACCCAGCCTCTTTCAAAAGGGTCCCAGTTTAAAGCTTCACGCTAACTTCAATTCTCTACGTATTCTTTATCAGCTCTTGAATTCTCTTGTATTTCGTTCTTTGTCCCTCTTCTTCCAATTCCAAAGGGGGTCTTCCACCCATGTTTTCCTTACATCTTTGTTTCCTTCTTATTAATATTTCGCTGACGCACACTTGGTTGCACTTTTAGCTAAACATGAGTGCAAGGTGATTTTAGGATGAAGTGTAACAACATAAATTTGCAACACTTGGTCTTTTAGTGGATTTAAGGTATATTGAATAAACTATAATATTTGCAAACTACAATTCTAATCGGTTTTAGGACTGTGGTTTTCTCTGAAGATAGATTGAAACCATCTTTGCCATTTCAACGATACGTTTACATCCCAAAGACCAAAAATCCGACTCTACCTTGGAAACCTACCAAAAAGAAGTATTGTGATCACTTGGTTAATGTCCCCGACAAATAAGATTCACCTCTCCAATCACCCCCCTAATTACCCCCACCTTACCTATTTTCAACGTTTCGCACCATATTCTCCCTAACGAGGCTCCGATACATCACAAAACGCCACGATCGATCACCAATAATGGGGATTGTCATTAAAACGAAATTAACGGCGTGGGAGAGTGGGGGCGGGAGAGGGAGAGAGTGAGAGAGGCAACATCACGCGAGTTGTTATTGTCCGACATTCCTCCACATTAATTGAGATCCACGACGCCCGCCTTACCAATATCTTACAGATAAATTCATCACCGTAATTACTTGGTGCGAGGCCAGGCTAACCTATAAACCACACGGCTGCACGACCCAGTCATCCTACCATCCTGCCTCCAACACCAGCCAACGGCCACCCTCCATCCTACAGGGTGGCTAGATCCGTAATTAATCGAACGGCTCAGCTGTGACGCGATCCAGTGCGTCGGAATGCTTAGGGTTTTCTCTTTATTGATTCCCAAGTTATGATAGCTCTTGACCTCGTGCGTGTTTGTATTTATCGCTTGTAATTTACTGGGTTCGGAGTTTTAACGTAGTGTTTGGGTTCACAATGAAGCCGACTGTAAAATTTAGGAAGAGTTGCTTAATCGAAAAGCTGTGAGGTACTATTTGTAGTGTTTGGGTTCACAATGAAGCCGACTGTAAAATTTAGGAAGAGTTGCTTAATCGAAAAGCTGTGAGGTACTATTTTAAACTTAGCCAATTTTAATTTCAGTATATGATGACTGGTTGTAATCTACACAACTTTGAAAGGCTAGAAAGGGCTACTTATATTAAGAAGGATGGGATAGAGAGCATAAATTTTGTTTTACTAACCATGAGGTGCCAAATATCTACACTAGAATCAAAATTCTAACACATTATAAGACAGATATGGTATTATGCACCGACTATGGGGAACCTCTTCCTGAAGTAGTTTTGGCCTCTTCGGGAGTTGTGCTCACTGTGGATTAGTCATTTATTTTATGAGCTTTATTGATTATAGTCTACATGATGAAACCGAGGACTGGTTAATGGTCTAATTCCAAGAGGTAGACCCAGTCAGGATACAAGTTCAATAATACAGACTATTGAGTACACTTCCTTACTTCTATTACCATTTATATTCAAAGGAATTTGCATCATCAACTAACTGCATACTTCTGATCATGTGAGTCTTCTTAATCATCTCTTATCATCAAGGGGTTCACCCATCTTAAACGTCTGGATTTTGCTTCTGTAAAAATTTTGAAAAAATACAAAAAAGTGTTCAAAAATGCATTTACGTCTATTTTTTGTATATGAATCAAGCAGCATAGGTGCACGTTCTAAGATCTTTTCTTTTTTATTCGTGTCAAAACCTGTTTATAGCCGATACAAACAACTAGTGCTTGATATATACTTTGACACCTGAGTCCCGAGTCCCTTCCAACGTTTTCCAAAGACAGTAGATATAGTTCAAGGACCTCTGAGTCGGAAGCTGTACCATCTGTGGTGTTTGGTGTTGTGTTCTACTCTCGCAGATCGTAAACAGCTGTGGTAGCCATTATGTTGTAAACCAGATCTACATACAAGGCACAAGGCACAGTAGCGACGCTTGTAACAGTAACTTGATACAGTGGAACTACTGGACGCGTCTACTGCAGTTATACCGAGAAGTGCGGGCATAAAGTGCGTGGATCCTATATAAATCGCTCATCTTCTTCAGCCAGAAACAGTATAAGTTATAATAAATGGTATCAGAAAGCTGATACATAATTTATCCCATTGTATGTCAACAACCTCAGACGGTGGAAGTAACTATGGTATTTTATGGAATCACAAAAACTGCAATAACCTTTGAATCGTATTTTTTTACAAAATTGGGGATTGTACTTTATTTTGCTTGAAAGTAAAAGAACCATAATATTCTAAACTAAAATAGTTCAAGCCGTTTTAGTCCAGGCAACGATGAGGCATAGAGGGAAATGTTTGGAACACAATTTCTGACTTCGTAACTTTGTTTAGTGTGGTTAGGAGGTAACTACACACCAAAAGCTCCCACCACACAACCCCGTCGCAAAAATCAAAAGATGTATTTTGGGGACATACCAAAAGTATCCGCCTCTAGCCCTTGGCTGTAGGGGAGGAGGGCATGAAGGTACCATTTTTCGTTTTTATTTTCTCGGAAACCATGTGTCCAAGCAAAATTATGGTCCTGTACAAAATAATTGTGTTAATTATTTGGCAGAGTTTGAGTTGGCAAGACTGTGTCCCCCTTCCATTCTCCGTTGACCAACCGCTATCGCTATCGCTTGCACAATTTTGACAACATTTTTACAGCGGGAGCGGGCCCGCTATCGCCCCGCCCCCGCTCTTGGTGCATAAACGGGGCCTTACGCCCGGGACTTACTTTTTCATTTTGATGTCCCCAGAGGCCAAAAACACCATTCGTAAAAATTTTTATATATGTCCGTGCACACGATAACTTAATTATTTTCTGTCCGATTTTGAAGAAATTTTGTTTGAAGGTGTAAGGTGGGATAAATTTGAATGAGTTCGCGAACCAGCATGATCGGACCTTGGGGACAGGGTTTTATGGGGGTTTTATGGGGTAACAAAGAGGTTTTCTTATTTTTGACCCTCAAAACACAAAATTTCCTAATTTATCTTTAGACCTTTTTTAAAGAGCTTAAAGCACAAATAATTTAGCAAATCAAAGTTTTTTGTACAATTATTGGTAACGGATAAAACTCAACAAAATGTAAATTTAAAATTCACATGTTATTCTTACAATGTTGTAGTTTGCTTGTTTATGGATATTTTTGACCAAACTTGGCAAATTTATTAAATACTTAAATACTTTTCATTGAAATGGCGACCATACATAGTACGTATTTTAAGCCAAGTATGAATGGAGATGAGTGTAGAATGAGTGGCGCGATCTTGTAGTCTTGTTAGTGACTAAGGCCGACATTCGTTAGACACAGCTGTTGATTTTATATTAAGTTATTATTATTTTACTTGAAAACACACTTTATTAGTTTCCTTGTAGCAGCAAACCTATTTACTCGTTAAACCTAATGTTATTTAAATAGATTAATTGAAAATCATTTCAAGCAAATGGAAATTCGCTTAGACGGCATGTTTGCTGTGGCAGGGGTATTTATTTTTGTATCTTAAATTAATCTCTATTCAAATCTATGATATAATATACTGAAGGAACGATTAGGTTGGTTTCATGTAATTCGAGTCACAAGAGAAAAAATGCTAACTTAATACAGTTTTCCACGTAAAACATTCATTTTACAAAATCAACTTGGTTAAAAAGGCGATCCCATCTACACCAGTTGTAAGGATTCTAAAATCTGTCTTACCCCTAAGAGACAGGACATTCACCCCAACAATACTAATTTAATGCTTTTTATATCATACCTTGTTATGTACACTACGTAATGTAGCAAATAATGTCATAGATTTACTAAATTATTGCACATAAAATTAAAAACACTAATTGTAAGCGTGTTTATAATCAAAATAATCACATTTTTAAACATGTCTTTACATCTGAAATTCATATAAAGTTGATATTACCACTTAATTAAGAAAATAAGAATCAAAGTGTTCAAAATGATAGTTTTTAATTAATTATTCAACAATCACAGGTATTTTTTTATGGAAAATTAAAATGGAAAACAAAAAACTGAACTAAAAAGTAACAACGCTCAACACTCTTGCTATAACAAGAAAAGTAAAACAAATGTTCATTTTCAAATGTCTTCTGTCCAGAGAACACTGTGCTTTATTTAAATTCAGAATAAAAAATAGAATCTAAATCAGAATTAGAATTTAAATCAGAATCAGGAGGTAAAGGTGCTCTCGGTGCTTCTGTCACAACATTGCAATTGAATACATGCGATTTTGTGCTCGGTTTTATAGAGGTCAAAATCCCATAGGCCTTCTCTAGCTGAGCAACAGTGGTTGCAAGTTCCTGGCGCTTTTCCACAAAATCCTCCGACTCCTTCATCAAGTTGTAAGTGTTGCCGTTGTACAGTCGAGTTATCAACTCGCAGTGGAGACGCTCCATGACAAAGTTCACAATGGAATGCATGATGATCTTCGGAACTGTATCTTGAACGGTGATCTGTACTATTGAAAAGTAACTCTGAATCAACTTTTGAATTAGTTGATAATCCCGAGTTTCTTTCGAGGTTTCTTCTTCTTTCTTAGATTTTTCCGAAACTGTAAGACTTTTCTCCGAGAGTTTCACCGTGGGTTTGCGTGCGATGCAGTTCTCTTCTTCAAAAGCTATTGACTCTTTCCCAATCACACGGTTAGTGATAAAGTGCGGATGTCTTGTGTTGATGTAGGCTAATTGGTAATCTATAAAGTTCTCTACCATTTGATTAGCGATGGGAAGTCTGCTGTGGAGAAGTTCGGTGACGACACGGATGACTTCTTTCTGCAGTGTTGGATACCTCTCGAGTCCGATCAAAGGATCATCGGCGCAAGTCAGGACGATTCTGCTGAGCTCTTCGTTGACTAGGTCGACACATCGAAGACAAGGTGGGCGAAAACGTTGAATCTGACGCTTTACCAGTAGTTCAAAAGCCACTTCAGGAATAAACAACCCGGGACTCGCACCTGATGCATTCTGGGTAGCGGTCAAGATTGCTCCTTTCGTCAACCCAGATAATGCGTCTATCGTCCGCAGCGCTTTGGCGAGACTCTCTTGAAACACGTAATTGATTCTTGCCCCTCCAGACAGCTCAGTGGTCTGAATGTTCTCCGTGTCCCCTTTGATTATGCTACAATACATTTTTGAAAATTTCGACATGATGTCAATCAACAAAGAAGGCTTGTCCAAATTCACTTCCCCTAATGCTTTGAGTTCTTCTTGTTTCTTGGACAACTTTTCTTTGATGTTCTCTTTCAGGTTTGGCAGACAACTTTTGATGTGTTCGGTTAAGATTTTCTGAACAGTCTTCGTCAAGTAGGGTATTCCGTGGGTGCGTGCAACCGCTTTGTAATGATTTTGGAAAAACTGAGCTTCCTCTTTCAACGCCTTTTTCATGGGTTTGTTCTCCATGATGTCTCGTTGTGATCGGTTGACGACGCCGATTATACCTAGCTTGACCGGTATGATTTTGCCAGACAGAATGTCCCACGCGTCTGTGCCTTCGTCCATGAGGTCCAGCTTGGTGATGACCGCCAGAGTCCTCTCACCTTCAGGATCCACGTCGCGAGCCAACGCTAGACTCTCGCTAGTCGTCAGGTCCGCATTGGCAGGAGTCACTGCCAGAATTATACAATTTGGGTTTCTAATGTATTCGAGCACCATGTCCCTGGTTTGTTTTTCTATATCGGTTGGCTGGTCCCCAACAGGTATTTTCGTCAATCCGGGAAGATCTACCAATGTGAGATTTAAATACGAGTTGGAGTAAATCTTAAGAGTGATTGGAACATGGCAGATCCCTTTGTTGCTTCCAGCTAGCTTGACGGTTTGATCTTGTATTTCTTTGGAGATCAAGTCGAAGTCCGTGAAGACTTTTGTCTGGTCGTGTTGGAAGATTGCGTATTCATCTACGACTTCAGTGGTCGAATGCACAAGCTGCAAGACAAGAGGACATCTAGTCACTACACCGACTCCTCTGGGTAGGAAGGACTTTCCCACTAGATGTTCCAGGACAGAGCTCTTCCCTGCACTCTGAGAGCCTACCACGACCACCTGCGGCAGGTCGACGACTTGACCACTGACCAGAAATACGTCCTGTAGCTGGTTCACGATCTCCACTAGTTCGTCCATTCTGACTAATTTAAATGAAAAAGCCTCACGTTGCCACTTGCAAACACAAAACAAGATCGTAAACTGTAATGTTGTTTTACTCAACAATAAAGTCTCATGTGTTCATCGTTTCTGTTTACTAAATTTGTAACTGTAAATTCGTTGTAGTTAGATACAGGATTGGAGGAAAGGCATATAAGTATATATATATTACTTAAAGTATTATAAAAATGCTTTTTATGTTAGTAGTCTGTGGTACAATAAATTTGATAGAGATAAAGTTATTAGTCACTCTAGTCTTATATACTTCATTAAATGTGTGGTAAATTAATTGTCGCGCCTCTGTATGATACTTTGTATAATAGCTAACAAACTATTTTCCGTTTTGGGCATTTCTAACAAAGAATGCAATATTCAAGTCTGGCGACACTGATCGCTAGTGTCGTCGAAATTTTGTTTATATTATTTTAAGATTAAGAGTGTGACTTCTGATTTGCTGCTTGGTTATATAACTAGGAGACAAGTTATTGTTTGTGATTACATATCGTTTTATTTGGTTTAACGAGGTTTTAAATGACTGCAAACACAAGAAACAAATTGTAAACAAAACACGACCTCGGCTCTGCAGTGCACCGGGCAGAATTAAAAATAAAATTGGCTTCAGCTGTTCCATGAGGATGATAAATCTAATACTTGATATTCGTCGGCGATTCGTGACACTGATATTTTTTCTTATTGATTTCACCTAGCAAAATGGCAAAGAGTTATTTACCATAAAAAGTTTGTAAATTTAGAAAAGTAATTTATTCCTCGTGTTTTTGGTTCTTTCTGACAAGGTGTTATTGAAGGGAATTTGATCTTTTACAACCCTATGACGGGCATTAATTTTTAGGGTGCATAGTTTAGGAGTTAACTTGTCAGAAAAAAACAAAAAAAATGAAAAAATATATTTTCCTATATTTACAAACTTTTGATAGTATATAATTTGAAAACCATGCAAGATATACAAAAATTATAAAGTCCAAAACTTGGTGGTAATTTAATAAGCTTTCATTTTGTATAGGACCTAATTTCGCTTGGACACATGGTTTCCGAGATTTAGGAAAAAATCTGAAAATTGTACTTCCAAGCCCCCCCCCCCTACTACCGGTACCACAGCACAAGGGGTAGACGCGAGGGCTTTTGGTTGGCCTTATAACTATACTAAACAAAGTTACGATGTCAGAAATTGTGTTCCAAACATTTCCTCGCCCTTTTTGAGCATTCGTTGCCTGGACTTGGACTAATGAAACCCCGATTTTTCCGATATTTTATGGGGTTTTTGGGAAAAATCGCCACTAAAAAGAAAAATTCTAAAAATGAAAAACACCTGGAGTAACATGGATTAGTACCTACTGAGTGACATCAAAATCCGACCACTGGTGTAGCCTTTAGCAACGTACACATCCATAGAATCACACACGCATACAGACATCACTTCGAAAACCACTTTTATGAATTCAGAGGGATCCAAAACACATATTTCCACCTAAAATTCAAACTCACAAATGTTGACGAGTAAAATAATTTCTCCATATACTGTCCGCACTAAAACTAACTATATAAAACTCGCGTGTCGAAGTGCCCAAACACATTAAGAGTCACTTTACCCTTGACATGTTTACACAGCATTCCAAGATACTACAAATGGAGCGTAATGGGTAATTGTGATTAGAAGTTGCAGTGCGACAAATTGTAGCCTCGGCTAGCAGCCGTATTTCCACAAGTCAGCGGCTAGCAGCAGTTACTCAGCGGCTAGCAGCAGTTATTCAGCTGCTAGTAGCAGACAACTCGGTGTTGTTAATGCAGATCGGATAATGTCAAGTGCGGCGCAACGACGATAGTTGATAGTTGCAGACTTTATGAGTGTCATTCAGGAAAATCCATTAGTTTTGAGGTGGAGTTTGCTGCAATGATGTACTATAAGAGGAATTTTACTCAACTTTGTTTTATGCTATACCTCTTAATGTACCTGATTAACACATAAAGTTATCATAGTTGTTAGGATGTATTCAAATCTTTGGATGGTAGGCTGTGTTTGAGTAGATCACTAAACTAAATTTAGAGTTACTGATTCCTTTTTAGTCGTTTGTAGGTACTTTCGGTGCAATGATTTTCATTTTTCAGCTATTGCATACATATTTTGGAATCATTTTGTGTAGTTATTTGGGAAATGTATATTCTTGTACTCTGTCGAATGTGTATTCTGGTCTTGAAAGATATCTTCTGTATTCTGACTACACGATCTTTGCCAATACAGAGTCACTTTCATCTCATGAAAAATATCAGAAAGTTACAATTTGACTGTGGAAGCATACCTTCAGTATCGTGTATTCTCTTTACTACCGTCAACTCTTCAAGTGTGACTTCTCATTCTCATATGCTTTGTATCAATATGTAACATACGTTATGTAAAATTTACTCTGTGAATCATGCACTTAGTACATACGTGGATATTAACTTGAAATATAAAAATTATGTTAACAGCAGACACTATGTAGTACTGAACTATGAACCGCAAACATTATGATTTGTCCTTTGATAGCCCTTTCTAGTGGTAGACTAGTCTCAATAGAAAAAGCGAAGCTTTCAATTGCTTCAATTTAACTAGACAAATGTTGGTACACAAAAAGTAAATGCTCCAATTTAAATATTTAAAAAGACGCATCTTTATGTTTTAGATTTTAATTTTGAACAATACAACTAAAGTGCAATGTCCTGAAGGAGTTTATTTATAAGCAACGCAGATGACATGCGTGATGACACAGATGTGTCCCGACTAGAAACTACCTGCTTGGGCGTTATCAGCTGACGAGCGGCTGATTGAAACAATCCGATTGTTGTGAGAGATTACAACATGTTGGTGAGGAAGAGCACGTGCTCTTCTATGATACAATGTGTGAAACACTGGTTGAGTAGATGGTTCATGGGTATTGTCATATATTAGAACTCCCTTGTAGGTTAGTCATCATTACGGAGCTGAAGACATGGTGTTTTCGACCGGTAAATGTAGCTTTTTCATTTTAATATTTATTTCTTGTTTACCAAATTCTAAACGATTTAAACTAACGACAATTTTACCTTGAAAATACTGCTTGTTCTTTTGTAAAGAGTAAAAGCGCACACTGAAAGCCGACAATGTTCCAGTTGTCCTCAGCACTTTATAGCACTTTTATGGAGAAGGTTTGACAAGTCGTTTCCGCCGACTCAGACCAACCATCAAGCACTCGTGTCAAATACAATGTCTTTAATTGAACAGGCGAAGTTTTTAATGCTATAATTTATTATTCAGACCCCTCGTTTTCCATCGCTAAGCCAAGCCTATGAGTTGAATTGAAGATGCGAGATAATGGAATGCTATAGAACATTGAGATTCCACCCTACCAACAAAGACCCAGCATACCACAATTATCGTAGCTTTAATCTCTCCTTGCCCCTCCCCCTCTACCACAATGTGGGGGTGGTGAGAGGAGGGCCCGTCGTCCAAAACCCTGGGAATGAGTGCAAGAGCATACCTTCCCACCGGTATAGAACAGGGGTTAGAATACTTAACCTACATCAATTGAGATCCGAGTAACGCTTAGGTCTTTGGTCAACAAACTTCTTTGGTAAAAGCAAAGATTACTGAAATAGGAGGTGGCAGGATAGATGACACTGCAAAAAAAACATCACGTACCTTTGACTCAGCGAAGAAGAAATTGATTGTTGTTTTAAAAGGTTTTACTGTACAATAAAGGTAAATACTGTTTATTGTTCGTTCAAGTAACAAGCATGCTCACCTGAAATGTTTTCAGTTTGATTCACAAAGTATTTTAAGCACCTTTGACGGTTGGTAACTGAGACCATTTGATAAGTAACCCTGTTTCTGACTGAGACAAGAGACAAGCAATAGAAATTAACAAAAACCAACAAATAAGTTTTAAAATATTTTAATAACAATGTCATAAATTACTGTACACTGGAATCAGCTTCAACGATGACATTCCCTTGGTCGAACTTTGTCTTGATGGTGTCATGCTTGATGGTTGGAGGGAGGGAGACTTTCGTGTCCATCCCATGGAAGAAGTCACTCTTCTAGACAAAAAATAAAAAAATCTAGATATAAAAGTGTTTGGTCAAACCACTTTATGAAATTTGATTGAAAGGGTATTAGTCACCAGTAAATTGCCTGGTAAAGTAAAGTTGCAGGACGCACCATAGAATCTACTAGTAGTAGCACAATATTTATTTTTTATAAGGATTCTAGGATGCAAAGATTTCCAGTCAAAAGGCTGAAAAGGATAAAACTCCTTTGTCATAGATACACTGTCCTCTACTCTCAAGCCGTCTGATCTCATCAGTTTATTAGGGTCTAATCGGACTACGACTACTCACACAATCTATAAGGTCGTGCATTGATTGCGCCAAAGAGTTCCTTAATTGCGCAAAGCCCTCAAAGGGGGGAAAATGTTCCTTAGTTGCGCAAAGTCCAAGCCAAGTAGGGGTGAGTTGCCGGCAGAAGGAATGTCCTTGTTTGCATGTCATCCTAACCTATCCTAAGATAACCTAACTTAACCTAACCTAACTTAACCTAATCTAACATAACCTAACAAAACTCAACCTAACCTACTTAATTATACAGTCAAAGAGGGCCACCACTTGGTGCAGTTATGAACGTATTGGGTGGCTCTTTGGAGTAGTTGGCGTAATTCAGGAATACCCGACTACCTGACTCGGTCGGTTGGCGCAATAATGCCCGCCCACTAATATACTTACTCCAGTTTTCTCTCCTCTTTTCCCAACGATCCTGATATGGTCTTCTTGTATTGTGTACTGGACCTCGTCTTCTTTGAAGGGTTCTACATTGACCTTGAGTGTGTACTTCCCTTTGGTCTCCAACTCGGTCACAGTCAGGTTGCGGAAGATCTGTAGGAATCCAGGCAATCGAGGTTGTCCTAAACAACGCCAAACATATTCATATAAAGTTTGTCTCAATCGCAGTAACACATATGGGACCTTATGGTCAGTCTCTGAGTGTTTTCCTCTATCCCGCAATTGTTTCAACATTACGTTAGGTTATTTCTAGAGGGGATCGCAGAATTATCACTTAGACAAAATCCGTTGGTGATTGGCAGGATTTGAACTCGGGACTTCAGGACCTAAACCCCGTGCTCTACCAGCTAGCCCCCCCCCCTTTCACAGTGTTTCGCTGACATGTTTCGGTGTTTCAGATTTAAATAGTATGAGCTTTAACTGGAACTTTGGCTTCCTGCTACAGGGATGGTAATGAGTTGAGAATGATGCAATAAGTGTATTGAGAAATATTAACAGTGAGTAAAGTTAATGGTAAAAATATTTAATGGTGATTTTCTTAAAATCGGTTGAAGAAATTTTGCTATGGATTAACCTGAAAATCCGGTCAATCCATTGCAAAATGTCTTCGTGAGTTAAAAATTAATTTAAGAAATAACTAAATTAATTTTGCCTTTTAAGTGACTGCAAATAGAAAGAGAAACGATTTGGATTTGAAATAAACAGTGTATTTTAAAATGAGGAGAATGTGGGTCAGAACACGTTGCTATACATTGAAATATTCAACTAGTAGGCTATCTCAGATGGTATTAAAGTTTCCATGAACTAGAACTATTTTTATTGAAGACTTAATCATTAACTATAGAAATAATTGTGATATTTTAAGGAGATAACATTTATGTTGTTTGCATGCGTTTTTACTGTATACCACAAAAACAGAGCAGCACAGTTTTTAGACATTTTTGTTTTCTGATGTTAGCTATAAATTAAATCACTTCTAAATATTTTTATTCATATGAAATCAAAACACTGCATCCATACTTATAAAAGGTAAATACAATAAGCCTATAAAATTAGTCTTTTGGTTTTAGAAATGTTATTGAACCTTCGTCTATTATTTTCTAAATTATGTTTCTCTATTTGCTTCAATAAAAAACCTCATCCGGGAAACTAATATGTATATATTCATTATCAACGTGTTCACTAAGCTAATTCAAACTAATATCTAACCCTAATAATGGTAGTATTCAATATTCAAACTAATATGTATGCATTACTTTTTAAGTGAACAAAAACTTAGGAAATATAATTTGATGCAGCCTAAAAAGACTTACCCAGTAGAGCACTGTTCACTAATTTTGATAACATAATGCTAGGTAGTATTTTTAAAAACTTTAAATTTATAACGACAACGAACTAAATAATTTGAATTGTTTGTTTACTAACAGATATAACAACACACATGTGATAAGAATAACGAACAAATCAAAATCACTGCTACATAGATTTCATTTCTAAATACACTGATATTTGAACTGAGGACTGTATGGAGATAAACATAAACAAAAATGACGTAATTGGATCAAATAACCATAACATCTGATTTGGATGATTTTTGCTGGCTCCATTCAAATATTATTACTTTCTCCCCCTATACCATAGTATATGGAGAAAGTATTGTTTTCGTCAAAATTTTCGAGTTAAGAGTTTTGAGTGGACATTTACGTTTTGGGCCCCCCTGACTCCAGAAAAGTGGTTTTCGAAGTGATGTCTGTGTGTGTGTCTGGATGTGTACAGAGATAGGGACTACACCTGTGGAACGATTTCGATTAAATTTGGTGTGTAGGTTTTAATCCATGGTATCTCCAGGAGATGTTTTAATTTTTTTATTTTTTTTAATGTCGATTTTCCCATAAAACCAATAAAATAACGGAAAATCTGATTTTCTCAAAAATAACCCGAACGATTTTCATAAAAATTTAGTATGTTTTATCCCTTTAAATTTTGAAAAAAATGGTACAAATCCCATTTCCGTAAAAAAAATACGGTTTCAGTTATTCTAACTTATGTTACTTTCCCAAAAATACCATAAAAAACAAAAAAAATCTGATTTTTTGAGAAAAGCTGGTTTTAATCAAAATTAATATTTCATGGTCCTTGTAATTCTAAAAAATAGTGCAACCTCCCATTGCTGTAACAATTACGGTTCAAAGATTATTGCAACTTTTGTGATTTTTTAACTATAAAATATCGTATTTACTCTTACCGCTTACCCATGATAAAGGTTGTGACTAGCTTATGGGAGAAAGTATGTGTTCTAAATGCTGATACCGTTTATTACAAACATGTTTACATTCGGACCAAATTCATAAGTTGTTTATCTTTATGCCCATTTCTGTTTAAATAATCGTGCTGAATTCTGTGGCTAGGCTGTGTTGGGAGAAACATATGCTTTGTGTTAGTCTGTTAATAAAGTGTTTTTTTTTCTTTTTCCATTGCTGCATGAGTATGTTAACGCAAGTGCAACTTTTAAAGGACAGTTTTAGCTGTAACCTTAAAAATTGTAGTGTACAGTATCGTGGTGCAAAAGACGTATTTGTAACAATGTACAAGCCCAAATTTACCTATAGTTTTGTATATTTGCATCCCAGACACAAACATAACCTCACAGTTCTTTGTTAGAAAACACAAGGTTTTGCTAAACAGTAAATAAGTTACTTTCCAAACCCACATTTTGTGTCCCGAAGATTCAATATTGCACTATGTATACTCTTCAAACACTTTAAATTTTACAATTTATGATCGATTTCGAGCGTTTCCTACTGATAAATGAGCGACCAGATAGTTTATCAGGGCGAACGTTGGTTCCTCAATTACTTCGAAGGTGTTTGAGCGTTTAACTCGTGTTCGGCTGGTCTCAGCTGGTGACGTCATAGCCCTAATTGAGGGGCGGTTTGACCCTTGACTCTGGGTCATGGTGGGAAAACAAGCCTCTTCCCAGCCCCCCCCCCCCCCCCAACACCACGAAAGCGAAGTCCCGACCAACTGACTGTCCAACTGTAGCGACTCCTCGAGCTCGAAAAGTTTGGCAATTGTAGCAGCGAATCTGCTAAATTGGAGGTTAATGTTTAGCCACTGCTTTGTTTTACGTGAAATCAAATGTGTTGCTGTGTATGTCCATCAGTCTCACTCAACCGATAAAATCACCAATACACGCCCTCATGCTCGATTTCGATCACACGCATTCCAGTAACTAGGAACGATTACTACTTACATTATTATGTTCAACAGGCGTCTCATTGCTTTGCGAAAACAGAAAGTAGTTGCCTCTCAATCATTCTGCGGAACGTGGATAATTATCTCTCCTAATCAAGAGAGTTAAATCGTGGAAGCGAGAAGTTGCGGTGAAAGTTCCTCCGCACGTAAAGTTCACTGACAGAGAATAGCTGCATGGTTAATTAAATGGTTTTATTAATCGAGGTAAAAATATAGGTATAACAAATTAATATTTGCTGCTCTAAACATTTTCTGTTTTTCGCTACTGTGTTTCCTAGTGTAGTCCGGTTTGTCTTGTCTTGAATTCCTTCCTACATGAAGACAGTGGCTGATTCCAGATCCCAAGACGTCGTGGGACCTCTGTTTTATAATTCGTGATAGAAAATGTCGGAAGAAATAAAAAAAAACAGTATTGAAAAAGAAAGAGTAAAATTAAATTATGGCACAACATTTTTTATCCCTGAGATCACTATTGTTCAATCTACGATGCAAGTTACTGGAAGAGATGAGGTTTATTTAATCTCGTATGTATTGACCTCTTACGGAAATAAATATGTTTCTACAGACATTTTTCGATCTAATGATTAGATCTTGATCTCTTGGTCTTTGATTCGTCAAGGATTTTCAATTACTCGTAATTACAATCACCCAAAGACACAACTGAGAATAATTGCTCTGAACTCATTACTGTTTCCAATTTATGGTCGATCGACCGACCTTTGACCGTGGCCATTCTCATACAGTGGCCACCAACGACCACAAACAACTACACTAGTTGATAATTTCCATCAAACCACCTATCCTTATCCTATATACCGCATATATACAGAAACGAAATTTATTTCAACGAGATCCAGGGACTGCTCAGAAACCCATTTTTGGATCAGCATCTTTAGGAGTTAAGCTTTTTGGAGCAGTTCCTGCAATGCATAATCTTTGGAAAAAGCATTTGATTGCAACGACCACTCAACTACCCAAATAAAGACTTTCATCCATACAAATCATTAGTATCTTACAACACTACCTACAGACTCTCATGCAAAGGTACGCAAAATACATGAACTTTTTTTTAACACATCTAACCACATCATCCTCTAATACAAGGCCGTAGCAAGATAAAAGTGGCAACGCCGCATTCCCCTCCTGCTGAAACAGCTGTTGCTAATTCAAGGAGTGTCTGCACAATGTTTACAAGTTTGTTGTGCTGTTGTTACCATGACAGTAGGCCGGTGCGACGTTGCCACACACCAACGCTTATAGGCTATGCCGTACCTCAACCGTCATAGAGTACGAAAAACTTCAACGACCCTTCAACTACCAAGTAACCGTCCTAATCTCACATCTCTACGTATATGGAGCGGCATGAAGCTTCGAAACACCATCCATACCTCAACTACCTCCCAACTATCCAAGTAAAGACCTTTCAACTACCAACCCAGCATTCCCAACTATTACCATCAAACAGTCTATCTTTACTTCACCTATATGGCGGTTCCCACACATTCCTGGTCGGGACTGCCTGGTCTCCCTGGTCTGTGATTAGAGATTCACCACCGGCACGCGTGCTCAGGTGGGGGCGGTGGGGGTGGAATTGGGGGGGAGAGTGATAACAGTTTTGGAGACGTCAGTTGGTGCCGCGCGCTCGAACTGTTCGGTCGTACCTGTGGATATAACTCGACCTAGAGCATTACGAACTTCGTAAGTAAAATGTTGCTGTTGGTTTTTGATATTTGTTTTTCATGGGTGCAGGATATACAAAAATCAGCTGGAAATATGACCATCGAGCACGATCTGACTCGGATATTTTTTCATATCGTCGATATTGATATGAACCCCGATTCTCGAATGGTACAAAATTCAAAGTCTGCAGTCGGTGATTAATCACAAAAAAGTTTGAAAATCCTTTCGAGTAAATATATTATACGTATGCGTATTATAGAAAAAAACTATTACGTTTTGCAATTTCTCTAATAATTTGGTCTGTGCGTTGTTTCACTTTCTTGATCTTTGATATTCATAAACCTGGTGAATTTACCAATTTAAATTCATTTTGTTTTCTTAATTTTCGTACATTACTTATTGTGAAGTATATAAAAGTATTGCCATCCGCTAATTTACTAAGGTTTGTTGTTGTTTGGTTTAAAATACTTACATTTAAAAATAGCATCCATCAAAATCAATTTCAACACATATTATAATTCTATGTAAGAATTTAAAATTAAATTGTTTCCAAAAATTTTTAGTTTGTTAAAAAGATGCTAAAACTTACTGTTTTATCTTATGAACGCCTTTAGAACCAATCGTTGAAGTCTCCAAGTCAGAATGCTAAAACCGACTGTTTAGCTTACAAACATTATTTTAAATGCAATTCTCACTTTATATTACTAATTTCGTCAGTTAAAAGACACCGTTTTCTGACTTTTCGGATGGGAACAAAAAAATGATCAGAATGCCAAATAATGCTGTGCAAAATACAGTTTTTGCATTGTCAATGTTAATAATTTGTTTGATTAATTCCGGAACGTAGCTTTTAAATTAAAATTAAACGTCTATATAAGTCACATTTAATAATAAATTTAAATAAGTTTTGAAATGACCATTAAATTTTACTAATAAGACTACTAAGGTGATTACGAAAACCATGGTTGATGTAGGCATATCTACTATATTTGTTTGATTCATATTTTATAGATTCAGTTAAACTACCCATTCGATTTTGACTTATAATAAGTGTATGCATATTTCATTATTACTGTTTTATGAACTTTAAGTTAATATTACTACAGTTTATCACCCTCCAAGTTGGGTTTTCTTAACGAAGTTAGTATAGTAGCCAATTTAAGTTTTTGTTAACATATTTAGTTCAATACATCTAAATTTTAGTGTCAGTTTCACCTACCGTTTTTATTTTCTGTGCTGTGCATCGTCTTGGAAAGAAATAACTGTAATAATTTTATTTGTTGGAGTAAATAAATATTTTCATTCTTAATTCTAGTTATTTTGAGAAATTTAAAACACGTTAGTTTATTTTGATACAATTTTTTTTTATTTATGAGTGCTTTTTAAGTATTTATATTCTTAAATTATTATACTACCTAACCTGTATGTATAGTGTATGTCTCAATAGAGCTTTGCTGGGTCAGCTGATGGGTAAAATAATGTTTTTGACCTGATATAAAAGTTATAAGTAAATCAGCCCCGGGTCTTGGTATTAGCATACAACTTTCGCTAATAGCTTATTCCATATATAAACAATTAGCTAAAATTATGGTAATCATCTATAAATCCTTATTAAATCACACACAATCAAAATGCTACATTTTACTACCATTGGTCATAAAGAACTACTGACCTTTCTAACCAGGGCAATCAGGAATGTGCATGCATATTGATACAGATTTAATTGACTTTTTCATCGGCCGTAATAGAAGTACGTGCTGGACTCAAATACGGCAATATGACGTTTTTAGGCCACCTAGATCACGTCTAAAAGGAATGGCGATGGTGCAAAACCTCCTGGAGAAAAAGTCGAACACGCGCCTTCTGCGAACTGGGGAATGCGACAGTAGTGTTCTCTATCGGTTATCGAAGGTCTCATTAGCGATAATCGAAGTAATTGGCGATTATCGACTATCGATTCTGCGAAGATTTGATGATTCCTGGACGTTTACACCACGGAACATCTATGTGATGTGTTCGTGGAAAAGCAATAGTCTTCGGTAAAAAACCGGAAGCGGACGATGAAAATTCTTGGTGAAGTCACATAGAGGAAATCGTTTTACCGATAGAATGTGTGGATTTTGTTGACTTAAAATTTTACCGATGATTTTATTTTAAAATGCTAATAATGTATGGACAATTTAATGAAATTCGAAACGTATACAAATAGTATTTACAACAATAACAATAATTAGGCCTATTAATAACTAAACAAATTATAGAACAAATCTTTTAGTTAGGAGGTTTTAATTCATTTTTACCACGCATTGTGGATTTCATATTTACACAAAGAAACAAACCTACTGTGGTAGAAAAGCTATCTGTTTCAAAACTACATTAAAATTGAATATTAAATTAATCTGTTAGTTTTCTAACCAAGTTGTTGTGAGAAAACATACAATACAAATCCCGGTATTATAAGACCTTAAAAACGATTGGTTTTCAACATTTAATTCAAAGTAATTCTTTGATTACAACTACATAAACCATATTCTATTTAAGATTTTTGGAAAACAGTCCAACAATAAAGCAACAAATTTGGAACCTATCAATTTGCGAGGAGATAACGATAACTTCACCTGGCAATTAGTGAACCCCCAAAACATCCTGTTGATAATTATTCTTGAATTACGGCTATCCATCACTAGTTCTCATCTTTCCTCTGGAATTATACCCAATGGAGATAAGAAATTTCAATTAAAATAAGACCGGGACTAATTAAAGTCAAGCAATAAAACCAAGAATAATGGAAACTATGAGAACTGGAGATCCCAAATGATTGACGCGCTCGGCTCCAAAATTTAATCCACTAGACCATTAACAGTTATCAAAATAACTGACGATAGTGTTCACGGTTTAAATTTCTCACTAGTAATCCGATATGAATTGTCACTTCCAAATCACTAAACTTGTAGCATAGATAAACAAAGTGTCACAAAGATTCGAGAAATATCGTATACATTCCCAATACTGATTTTAAGTACAGTACTGCTTTTTAAATTTATCATGATGTCGTGAAATATACAGTAAATATTTAGTTAGGTATCTTAAATTAAACATTTCACCTAAAGATGTCTTTGTCATGATCAGTATCAATGGGCTTATTTTAAAACTATCAGAGCTTTTGTCCTTCGTACGGGGTTGATGTATATGTTGTACTGTGTTTGTTGACGTCATTAATTTCTATTAATATATATATCTTACTAATATCTATATATAAACTGTTTTTCTTTGTCTCCACTAATTTGAGAGAACGCTGGGCGTAGAAACTTGGTAGAGGTGTCCAAGGAAATGTCTTGGTCTGTAGATGAGTTATCAAAAGAGAAAAGAGTAAAATTCCCTTGGGGCTCTGCCCCAGTGGCCTTTAAAGTTCTATTCGCATGTTATTCTTATGAAGGAAAGAAATGGGGCTTTTGTCACAGCTAATTTGAGAGAACGTCTGGGCGTAGAAACTAGGTAGGGGTGTCTAAAGAAAGGTCTTTGTCTTTAGATGAGCCATCAAAGTTTTCAATTACTACTGGTTGACTGACAATCTAAATTTTGATTCTGATATTTGTAAATTAAATTTCTTGAACACATTAAAGGTAAAAATCAATAAAATGCATCCAACATGTGTTTATCACTCATATTCAAATGGGAAGGAGTTCTGTACCACATTAGCATGATCGACGACTACAAAAGCGCATATTTAAGGAATTTTAACATTCAAAAACTCCCCGGTGAGTTTTGACAGTTGTGACCCTATAGAGGGCGTGCGTCCTAGGTGGTGGAGGGGAGTTGACAGTTATTTGGACAGCTATTGTACACTCCTCACAGCACACCCACCACAGACCATTTAAATACAAATAATCTCCAAAATCCAGCCACAAATCTCGCCATATTTACGAGATAAGCTCGAAATTAGGATTCAAATCCGTCCAAAAAAGGGCTCTCGACAAAATATCGTCTATAAAGTCCGTGAGTTATGGGACGGACACCAATAAGCCAAATTTGAAACACGTTTAAGCCACGGGGAGTGTGCCAGAGGTTTTTGTGATATACGGATGTCCCGTGTTGAAGTATTTTGAATTTCGAGTGTCGACCCACGTGCCATTGAGTGCGTTTTGATGTAAACAATGAAGCTAGGTTAAGATTCAGTGTTTATCTTTAAGTGGTTAAAATTGACAATTATTTTATATGACTTAATTGTCGATTTTTTTAAATAGTGAATGAGGTATTTTTGTTTTATTTTAACGTTCAATATCATTTAGAGGCTTACAAATACCAAGAAAATAATTTCTACTGCCAAATATACGATTGGTTAATGTTACTAAATAAAAAAAAAACACACTCGTATAAATGTAAATATTAATTAAATACCAGATGTTTTACTATGGATAGGCTACTGTTTATAATCTCTTTCTACGTGTTTCTTTCATTAAATGTGGTTCTACCATTTTTTTCAATCCATTTGTTGTTCTTACCTATAAAATACAGTCCACTTATTAATTACCTAACACATATATTTTTTGGTCCTTCGAGCCGGATTAAAATGCAATGTAACGCATGCTTTGCATTACATTGAATCGTTTACAAACATAACGTAAAACCCCACCATAACAATTTTTCTGCTTACCCACAAACATTATCAAAGTAGGATGTTGAATCTATGTCACAGTTAAAGTTTATAAGTTCACAAACTAATTCCACAATTTCAAATATTTTCTAACTCTCGCCACTCTTACACCTATGTTTACCCATTTCCGCGGAAATTTCCCGGTCAATAAACACCATTAGCTGTCGTGAAATTTTATTCAAAATACATAAACATCGGCGCCGATTATCCTAAGAATTTCACCGTTGCGGTTTTCAAACTGATAATTATGCATTGTTTATCAACAATAGACCTGGTCGTCGCCAAGCCGAATTCGGCGAGATCGCTCGAAAATTGCAGACGTCGAACAATACAGATGATTCACGATGGCTGTAATCATTTTAAT